GTAGTTTATTTTTTGGAATTGTGAACGTCGGCGTTCTTGGAGGCACCCACCTTAAAGTTGGGGCTCAACACGCCGGTGTCCGGGTTCTCAATCTCCACGTAGTAGTACGTCCATTGGTTCGTCTCGTCCAGTCGAATGCCCTAAAAATACGATCGCGTTTAAAAGGGTATCTTAAAGAAGTGATGTCATTAGATTCACCTGCATAGCCCCCGTGCCCTCAATCTTCTCCCAATCGTTCTTCAGGTCGGCATCGTCAGTAAAATACAGGCTCCAATTGTCCTTAACCGAGATTAAAATCTGGTTTTTTTTCAGGATACCTTAATTCCTAGCCAATCGCGCAGGCGATCGTCGATGTTTACCATGACGCTACCGTCGTCAAATTCGGCCGAGATCAGATTGTCGCGCCAATCTGGGCGTAGTCCTGGAATCTGGTTGGTTTGCAGAACTGACCCTCCTACTTGGAATCACTTCCAGAACAACTCGCCACATTGTCGCACCGGCCGGTGATTGCGCCCTGAAATTTTGATGTTCAATGTGATTTTCTTCTTGTTCTTCTTGTAATTTTTCTACTTACGTGCATCGGAATTCTGTCCTCGATGTGATGTTGTATGCTCGCAAAAAGTTTTGCCCTCGGTGTTGCACGTTTTTGAACTGAAGCAGGATTTTCAATCAGGTATGGTATTGGTATCTTTCTATGATTACTACAAACCTTCAGATCGTCAGCCTTCTCATGCGGGATCCATTGGACGCTCGGCTCCGGATCTCCACTTCCATTGCAAGCTAGCGTTATCCGAGATCCAGGCAAAATGTCGAGCCTCGTCAGCCCATTGTCGGTGGCTCGAGTTGGATGCACGTGAACGCTGGGGTTCGAATCTAGAGTTTACCGTCCCGGGGTGTGCTACGCGGACGTCTGATTACGGAGAGAGTTGCGAGAGAGAGATAGAGTGAGGTAGAGAGAGAGAGAGAGAGAGAGAGAGAGAGAGAGAGAGAAAGCGAGAGCTACGACAATGAAAGACGCAGACGTAAACAAACGTCCACGTAGCCTCTACTTAAGTTTAGGAGATCGTTGTTGTTTTGAATAGTATTTCCTACTCGGATTCCAGCGCGGTGCTTGTGTTCTGATCTCTGGAACGTAAGGAGTAGTAGGTGGTCGTGTTCTCGGCGTTGTTGTGGTTGTCGTGGTCGTCGTAGTGGTCGTGGTGGTAGTAGTAGTTGTGGTAGTAGTGGTTGTGGTCGTTGGGTGCGTCCTCGGCGCGAAGGTGGTTGCTAATAAAAAGATATTTGGCTGACGAAATTAGCACAAAAAAAAGCAAAGTTAAAACCGTGTTTCTCACTTGTAACGGGCACCGTAGGTCTAGTAGCGGCCGTGGTCGTGGTAGTAGTTGTTGTGGTCGTAGCAGTAGTCGTCGTAGTGGTGCTACTGGTTGTCGGCGTTTGATATACTCGTGGAGGTTCTAAATAAGCGTGTTTCTCAAGACTGTTTTCAAAACCTCGATACGGATCCGCCGGCTCGATCACAATTTCGCGATTGTCTAAAAATGAGGTGACTTCTTAGAGGATACCATACCAAAGAACGGTTGCGCTGTGCTCGGTGTCGTTTTGATGATCCACTGGGTGACGGGGAAGTTTGGTGGCGTTGCTAAACGGTTTTTTCCAAATATGAATTCAATGAATTTATGTTAGTCGAGCTGCATGCAGTACGTTTTGGTCGCCTCCTTCTTTGCGGTTTGGTGACCCTGGGTAGAAAACCGGTGACACCATGCGCGCCCTGCTCATCCTGGTGTCGGATGGCGAACTTTGGTGGGGGATAGGTGGCCTGGTAGACCCAGTGGCCGATTGTTGTCGTCGTCTGATAGCGGCGTGGATAGGCGACTAAATAAAGGAGAACATGCTCATGCTCACGCGAAGACGATGTGGTTGCAGACTAACCCTTCGGCCGTTGTGTTGCCAGCGGGTAGTTTTGATGTGGCGATCCTGAAAGCACGCTCAAATCCAGGCTAAGTTTTGCCTAGGCGAAGGCCAAGCAAGCTTAAGTCTAAGCCAATCCTAAGTCTATCAAATTACCTCTAACATTGACCCTTATTGTCCTGCGATCGGTCCCCACTTCGTTTTGCGCCTAAATTCAATTTTCGATGCCTTCACCTTCACCCACCTCGCAGGTAAATTTCGAGCTCTCCCTCAACCCCCACATGTGCATCTTGGAAACGGTACTGCGCTCGGGTTTTGACATGATCTTATTTCTAAAGCAAATTGTTCCAGAGCCTTTAGAATCAGTACCCATGCAGCCATGTAATAGTCGCAATTGGATCAGCCGTAACGTTGCAAGTGATGTCAAGTGGTGCACCAGGCTCGATCGTTACCTCGTCACCCTCCAGAATTCGGATAGACGGCCCGACGGCTAAAGCATTCGGCATTTGAAGAATATTACTTGCTCAAACGTACCAGCTGGCCTTGTAGTAACGGAAATAGGATGGCTGATCAGACCGGGACCTCGCGTATCGAACGCTCGCAACTTCACCCAGTATTGCGTCGATGGGCGCAGGCCATGAATCGTGATTTCACGAGCTTGTCCTAAAGAAATTATCGTGCTTTTTTGCTTTCGATACCATTGGCATAGTCGACTTTCCATTGCTCCAGCGGCAAATGTTCATTTTCCGAGTGGTAGATGGCGCATCGTGTGATGGGGCTGTTGATGACCAGCGGTGGATCCCATCGGAAATAGATCGAATCCCGGTCGGGCCGTAGGGCAGTGAGGATTGGTGGTGTCCCGGGGCCTTTAATGGAATTAGAGCTGAATTTGCGTATTTTTAGCTACCTGCAACCCGAATTTCGACAGTCCGTTGAACCTTGCCCAACGGGTTTGACGCGATGCAGGTGAACCTGAAAGTGGGGCCAAACCCGAGAAGTACGGAAATTTACCTTTCCGTACGATACAAATTCTTGATGATCAGGTACTGCTCACTCATAAAGGCGAAGGGGTTCTCATTGATGTTTGGGACCGGTTGATTTTGGCTGAAAAACAGTAAATTGATAATTTCGAGATTCCATGTGATTACGATATACTGAATCCGAGATCCTACCTGATCCAGAACAACCGCGGAAATGGATACGAAACGGCCGAGCACGTGATATTGATCCCCTCACCCGGTGCAACCTCGTACGGTCCATCCGGAGTGATCGTCATCCGTGGCGCTCCTTTCCTAACTAAAGAGAGCTTTAAGCGGCAGTTAAAGAGCATCTTCTACCCTCTACCGGCTTGTCCTTGGCCCCCTTTAACTTACCGTAACAACTCGGCTGACTTGGGCAACGACAATTCGCCTGCTCCTCGCTGATGATGGCGCACGAACAACTGCCCAAACTGTCGCAACTTGCCGGTGGGTTTTCTAGGCAAATATTTTCACATATAGCTGCAAACGCCCAACGACCCTCGCCGCTCGCTCCTCTTTCTCTCCCCCTCACCCTCTCTCTCTCTCTCTCTCTCTCTCTTTCTCTCTTTTTTGAGCAACATTTATGCGTTAGCCCCGGTTATATACAGGTAAGCCCGCGCTCGATATTTATAGGGCTACGGGACACACCTCTAAATGTTGCCGCCCATCCAGCTGCAGCCAGCAAGGCCAAAAGCCCGCCGGTTCGGCTGATGCCCATCGTTGAGGTATCTAAATTCAAGGATTTAAAAACTGGGACGCCACCAAGACGGGACGAAGAAAAAAAGGTGAACTTTCAAGATCTGACCAGGAAGTGTAACGCATCGGAAAAAGAGTGCAAAAGGCCGATCTAGAACGGATTTTCGGGGACCGAAAAACGGGCAGTGCACGTCGAAAGGAGAGTATTATAAACAGTCCGGCCCTCGGCAAAAAACGCCCGAGGCTCACAGATGGCAGACCAAAAGCTGGGGTGTGTCTGTGGGTGCAGTTTGATGGGCAAAGCCCAGTGCGATGTCGAAATCGTCGTGGTATAACTTTAAACCGTTAAACTGAGGGCTCGCACGTTTTCAGGAAATGTTTCAAGAACCAACAACCTGCCCAAAACTTCCTCCCCGTCCCATCTGCTGCTCCCCCCACCCCAACTTTTAGGGGTGGTGCGTCGTAAAATTTGAAACACATGCAGCGCTTTGTCTGTTCTGGTCGGGTCCGGTGCTCTTTGAACGTTGACCATCTTTTCAGTTAAAAAATATTTATTGGAGTGCAAACATTCAGTTTTAATGACAGTATGTCAGGTTGTTCAGGGATGATAGGTATCGAAAGTATCGAAGGTGTCGTTTTCCTCAACGGATCGCCAGCTTTTTTCGTCACGCCAAAATGCAGCTGGCCAGAACGGTGATCAGAGACTAGAAGCCATTTTATAAAGACAACCCCGAATATGGCAGACCTTATACATCAAAAGCCAAAGGCCCACGAAACAGAGGGTGACCGACGAATGAGATCGCATACCATTCGGCGGGGTTGTGAATGATCATCGCGGTGGCGAGGGAATGACTTTCCAAAGCCCATCGAGACATTTTGTTATCATTTTCGGACGTCCCCATTTCGAAAGTGTTGTGCAAGGTATCCGCCGACACTTCGTAGATAAGGCGAATGAATTCAGGGGTGGTGCCTGTTCCGATGGCTTGCACAAACTATTACCCGAAGGGGCTCCAGAAAAGGGAAAGGTCCCTAAATGTTGTTTGCTATTCAGATATTCGATCGCGCTTTGAAAAAGATTTAATAGTTTCGGACTCGCAAATAAACGTCGAACGAGTGCTGTGCTCTTGAAACGCTGTCGAGCTTCTCGTGTTGGAAAAATATTTATTCGAGTAAATCAGGGATTTTATTGGCACTACAATAAAGTTTATTCAGGAATGGTAGGTATCGAAACGAAATAGTCATTCAGCGAAATCTTCTTCGGCTTGGTCGTTGATATTCATCCATTCTGGGAACCATTCACGGAAGTGATCCACGGATGGGGCACCACTACAAGAAAGTTTCTGAAAAGGCTCGAAAACTCACCTTCCATTTTCCTCATTTATTTAGTACTATAGCAAGCGTAGCAAATTTGTAGCGCAATTCATGGTCAGCCGGCCCGCGGAGACACAGATAAATGAATGGCCGCTGTTCCTGGAGAATTACATAGAGTGTTTTTTTTTTTTTTCACGTAGCACACGAAACTAACCTGATTGTGATTGAAGTACTCAGCCGGGAACTCGAAGCAGAATTTGACAGTGCTTCCGGCGGGAATTTCGTATAAATTAGAGTTTCTCTGAGCCGAGTATTTGGGTTTCCACTTTCTACTAACCTGTGGAACGACGAGAACAGCATCCGTGATAATACGCGAGACGACTTGATATTCCGTATCCATATGAGGATGGCGCTTACTGAAGTGGATGGTAAGTCTTCCAGGCGTCTCATTGATAATGCCAAAACGAACATGCCCGGCGTCATAGTCGTACTCTGGAATCAGTTTTTTATTGTTCACTGTTTTCATTGTTCGGATCAAAACGTCATGTGAAACCAACCTTCCCAGTTGAAGATTCCGTCGTCTCTAATGCCGGTCCAAGGCCCATCTTTTGGATAAGAATGGGTCTTTTGAAGGTCTTTTAAATATGTAGCTTGATCTAGACCCAGCTCGACTAATTTTGGTTTGAGCTCTTCAAGGAATTTCATAGCAGAAGAGCAATATTTCATCGATACAGACGAAGGGCAGAGGGGCATAATGATCTGGTGAACCAGTTCAGGCCTTTTATACACTCCCTTATCAGTAAGCCCATGTTTGCCTGGTTTGAAACTATGGCGTAAGGCGCCCAGACCCGCCGAAGCTAGCGACCGCCTCGATAACCTGGTGGCTGAAATAAGGACCCGGTGATTCAGACTAACTAGGCAGAGAGACAGAGCGGGAGGGAGAGAGAGAGAGACTCATCATGGCGGATAGGCAGAATGAGTTGCAAGGCGACAGTTTATGACTTCAAGCCCGGCTGTTATCAGAGGCGAATGAGTTGCGAAGTGGTACTTCGAAACCGTCGTGCCAGGCATTCTCCGACCGCTTCCGAGAGGAGACGAATGGCTTGCTCAAGCCAATATTCACCAACATCGACCACAACGGCAAGGAGAAAAAGACAAAAAACCCTAAGAGGATTGAATAAAAAAAAAGCATTTCAGTGTAGTTGTATCTTCATTTACGTCATCATCGTCATCATTTACGGCCAAAAGTGACCAAAATAGACCGCTTGCGAATAGTGTAGCACCTTTTAATGAGCTTTGTTTGGCTTATAAAACTCGCTTCTCTTTGAACGCTGACGCACTTTCGGGTTGAAAATAATATTTATTCGAGTAAAAAAAATCGGCATTGATGGCACTGTAATCAAGGTCATTCAGGATCAAATCTGAGCGCGAAGCGAAAAAGTAGTTGCAAAGAATAGTGTCTCAAAATTGGAAACCAGAAGCCCTATCAAAAATTTTCCATTTTGACGGTCTGTTTATGGCAAATCGCCACAATGTAATAACGGTACATGTTGATGACCATGGTTAGCTGGCCCTATATAAAGCTCACTTCACAACATAGAGACCTACACACTGTGCAGTGGTGTTTGTTGTGAATCGGAACAGCTTTTGTGCTACGAAGCAACCCGGAGCAGAGAATAAACCGAATCCGAGATAAGGCTCGAATACTCTCCTTTGATCAGCCCCTTCTGATCGATTCGAAATGCGGCCCCTAATTGTACTTATATCACTCGCTTTTGTGTCTCCAATTTCTGCGGATTGTCTGCAGGGATGGGTCGAGATTCCGGAGGAGAATACTTGTATTCTTATGAGTAAAATGGGTCGGTCAAGCTATCTAAAAAGAACTTTTTTGATTAAGATTTGGCGCATCTGCAAGCACTACGAAATTGTCAGACTCTCGGAGCAAGTTTGGTCAAGATTGGCGATGCTTTTATGAATACAGCTATCGCTATCGAAGCGATGACTTGTGAGTTTGTTCAATAAATTGAAATCGAAAACTCTCGTCGATTTTTGTCAGCACAAAAATTTTAAAGTCGAAAACGGACGAAAGACGCTGATTGGAATCGAGAAAATGTCGAGCGGCGAATGGGCCTATTCAGATGGTACCCAATTGCAATATTCAAAATGGAAGTCTGGTAGGTATATTTTGGTATATTTTGATCTTTATTTTCAGGGGAGCCAAAAGCAAATGCCAGCTGTGCAGCCATTGATCCGACGACCGCTTTCTGGGAGACGGTCGATTGTGGAGTGAAAATGCCGTATGTATGCGGGAAACAAGATAAAAGTTAGTGGTATGGAACTGAATTTGCAGCCGTAGTTACAAGGGAAGTAATGCTCCCAAAAAAAACCCCTGCAAAACCAATACCTTTTTAAGATGCACCTTGTGACCTGGGATGGAGCTACTCCGAGGAATCCAATGCATGCTATTGGCTCAAGGCAAGTCCGTAATTAGACCACCACTGCAGTCCCAGAATTTCACAATGAATGATGGGAAACATTGGGACCTCTCCACCGTCAACGAGGCCGAGGAATTTTGCCAGTCCAAACTTGCCCACCTCGCCTCCATTCACAGCTCAGATGAGGATGACTTTGTCTACAGTAATCTTGCTCGCAGCCACTTTTGAGACTCATTTTTAGACCTTCTCTCCACCTATGGACTTTCCAGTCAAATGACAGCTGGCAACGGCACGCCATGCGCGTTTGTTTTCTAGGCTGTATTTGAAAAACTCGTTTAGACTGGGAGTATCGTGGATAGGACTGTCGTACTATCCACAGAGCAAAAACTATGTGTGGACGGATAGGACCAAAGCTGACTATATCGGACTACCGGCACTTGAGAACACCAATAACGTTTATTACGCTGTAGGGGGTTGTTTACATCAATGTATATGAAAATTGTGTTTATCTCTATTTTTAGATATGATATAATTTCACCTGTTCTTTCAGATGATGAATGACGCGACGTGCACGAAGGGGTGGAACTATCAGACGAACGACAAAATGGCCGCAAGATATGTGTGCAAAAAGCAACCGGCGGCTTGATGCTAAAGACCATGATAAATTTTTGTGTAATATATTTTGAAAAAACACAACCCCAATCTTTAGGTACGAAAAAATCAAATGGTGTTGATACTGTATCTAGAGACGCACCGAACAGTCACCGCAATTTTAAAACTTTGGCTATTCAGAAAATCATTCTTCCAATTTGAAAAGTTTCATACGATACTTTAAACACCATTCGATAGCGTAAGAAAAAATATACTAGAAGATTAAAATCCAGCCCAAGAACAATCTAAATGAAAAGGTTATATAAAAAAAACAACAAAAAAAGCGCTTTGAAAGCTGGCTGGTAGGCTAGCTTTCGGCCAAGCTAGACCTTTGTTTCTTATACAATTTACACAAACGTGCTTCCAATATTTCCCCTCAAACCTTTTTCGAATGTGTTCCATCCCGAACTCGGGGTCTGCTCGTTAAGCTCAAGCCTATTCTCGGTCAAAAATTCTCTGTACAAAAGGCGTTCTTTTTTTTTTTTTTTTTTTCCCTTTTTTTTTTTTTTTTTTAAAAAAATTTCCTTTTAATTTTTCTTTTTAAAAATTACTTATTTTTCATGCCCCCCGCCCGCGAACCCCCCAAACCCCCCCCCCCCCCCCCCCGACCCGCGGGATTTCCCCATTTTGGGGCCCCCCCCCCAATCCAAAGCCGGGACCCCCGAAAGACCTTCCGAATTTTAAATTTTTTAAATAATTTAATTAATTTTTTTTTTTTTCCATTGTTTTTTATTTTTTTTTTTTTCCCAAAAATTACAAATATTAAAAAAAAAAAAAATTAACACCAAACCCCCCCCCCCCCCACCCCCCCCACCCCACAACCACCATAAAAAAACCAAAATTCAAAACCCCACAAAGAAAAAAAAAATTTATAAAAAAACAAAATAACCCTCCCCCCCCCACCAAAAAAAAAAAAAAAAAAAAAAAAAACCCAAACCAAAAAAAAAACCCCCCCCCCCCCCCCCCCCCCCCCCCCCCCCCCCCACCCCCCAAAAAAACCCAAAAAAAAAAACAGCCCCCCCCCCCGCAGAGGGGGGTTTTGGAAAACCCCCTTTGTGTGCTCTTTGGAAATCTTTGCCCCAATCTGCCTTCGATAGCTCTTCAATTAAGGTATTTAAAAAGCAGGTCTCCCGATTAGTACCTATTTCATCCATTCTTTCATTAATCATGTCCATTTAACGCCTTAATGCTTCCTCACCCCCTTTTCTTCAACAAACTTCCAACCTTACCTCCACTTATAAGTGTTTACTTGTGAACCTAAGTGCGAGAAATAAATTATTATTATTAGTGGGCATCTTCAATTTTTTTTGAACTTACCGAAGAGCGGCGTAAAATTGACCTTAACCCCCGTTTGCCCTCTCTTTTGGGTTATTTTGGTGGTCCAATCCCCCAGTGGTTGCCATCTCTGCGTTTCTTTCCCTGCATACTCTCTCGATTTTGCACATCCGCCCCACAAAACACTGGCAGCAACGAGCAATGTCTCACCTGATCCAGCCCCCCGGCTCCATTCCATCCCCTCATTTTTCATCGAATTTTGGGTCCAAGCAAAACTAGCGAGCCTTAAAAATCGCAACTTCCCCCGGTAGTGCGCAAAAAATTGCGCTCCTTTTTCAGGAGCGTCTTATCGCGCTACTCTGCCGGTCATTTCTATCCCTGAAGTCAATCTGCCGTTTCTGTCTATCTCTCCCCTGCCGGGGCTAGCCCTGCCATTTTTGATCGCCATTGTTTGGTTTCGATTTTTAGGGAGATGGATTTCTTTTCTATTGCCTCTGTTTTTACACCTAATGAACAGTATGCCATTTAATTTTTAGACTTTGTTCTCCTTTAAAAAACACGGGATATTTGCAGAAAATGGGTGCGGCAGCTTCACAAAACACGCGGAAACTTAGCAAATCGGAAGACCCCTTGGCTTTTGTCGACAAGACGATTATGCGCAAGGACCAGGGCTATATTCTCGCGTTCAGACTGGCGCAGATCTTTGTGTAAGTAATACGAATAGATATAAAATGGTTTACGATAATTTTTTGTGCAAACACTCAGGGGTAACGGGTTTAAAGAATTAAAACCATATTTAAAGCTGGGCCTTCGTCACATACTCCTTCATCTCTGAGCACCATGTTTCCTCGTTCCTGATAATGTTTTTGTTGCTGACAATGATTGCAGAGGTTAGTAATAAACAGCAAAGACGCTTTAATTTCCTAGGTCTTCCAAAGAGTATCCTACCACGATGTGCGGAAACGAGGAATGTTTGGAGCGCTAGTGACTACTTTAGTGCTAGTCGATCAGCTATTTTTGATCTTGGTAAGCCGAAGAGTCCGCGACACAAATTTCTGTGTTTTTATTGCATTCATAGTGTAGATCTTAACGTTTTTCAGCCTTTCCCCGAGAAGCTCTCCTCGTTTTTCTTGTTCTGCGTGTGCGTCTTTCAACTCATCCGCTGCTTCCGGAGATCGAGGAAGGCGCTGAAGGGTCGAATTCTGTGAAAAAGGACTACCGGTGCTGCTCAGGAATAAATCTTGCCAATTACCACAACTTTTTGAAGGAAAGCCTGCAGAAATCATAAAAAAAAGCACCGAATGTCACTCGGGATCGCCAGCCGGGGATTGTTGTCGCCTAAACTGCGCCCCTACCACAGTACCCCCAGCCGGCTGATGGCCGTCTGGGAATATTTATTTTAGGGAGGTCGTCGGCCCCTTGGGGAAACCCCCACTGGCATTCCGCCAACACCAATTACACAGTTTTTTTTAACCTTCAAAAAATTTTGGGTTTTTAAAATAGCAGTAAATTTTCAGGGCCATGGGTGCCGGAGCCAAAGCTAAACCCAAAGAAAGGGAGGGATTAGAGGAAAGATGGTCAACAACTCTGACTACGGGCCAAACGAAGAGTATCCTATTAATCGGACAATCTTCTATTTATTTGATCGCATTTGCATCACTGTTCTGGCAGATTCCCGGTGAGTTTTCGCGAGGTCGGTAGCAAGTCCACCTCAAAGTAAACTATCAAAACTTGCATTTTTCAGGTCTTTATGGCGAAAAAGGGATTACCCCAATTGCCCCACACCTCCAATGTGGTATGTTTTTCTACTAATTCGCCGAAATACAAGCGTTTAGCCCCCAAAACAAATATTTTCTTGCAGAAGAGGCAAATATTCTGAATTGTCGCTCGGTATTGCTCATGCTCCTTCAAAAATATGTGCCAATGGCTCCTTCATTATCAATGGCGTTATTAGTGTTGTCAGCTATGGTGTTAAGGTAATATAAAATTGAGAAGAAAGATCGTTATCGCACAATTTTCAGCCTGATCACCGTTGCATTCCAGTCGGCCCGCACAAGCTTTTCCTATTTTCTTATTTGGCTGGCCTACGTAGCCGTCTATGAAGTGAGTCTAAAAAAAAAAACGAAAATCTATTCCAAAATTGTTTTGCAATTTCTAGAACGGCTTTCCAGGTTGGCGGTACGTTTCTTTGGTTCCAATGGGATAGCCTGTTGCTCGAATCCGGTTTTCTCGCCGTGATTCTGGCGGCTTTTAATGATGGGCCAGCAGATCAGGTAATTTCGATATTTCAAAGATTTAATGACCTTTTGTATAACTTCAGGTTGCCATCTATTTGTACAGATGGTTGGCCTGTCGGTTGATGTTCGCCTCCGGTGTGGTGAAGCTGCAGTCGAATTGCCCGACTTGGTGGGGGTTGACAGGTTGGTAAACAGCTTTTTGTAGACGAACATTAAAGGTATAGCATATACCATAAACGAAATGGAGTAGAATACCATCAAATAACTCAAAAAATTTTCAGCGCTTGAGGTACATTACGAATCGCAATGTATCCCGACTCCAATCGCTTGGTATTTTCACCATCTTCCGGGCTGGTTCAACCGATTCGCAGGTAAATTGCAATCATAGAAATTTAAAAATAATAGTGCTATTAAGTTGCACTAACATTCTACATCGAGTTGTATCTCCCACCGCTTTTCCTGGTGCCTTTCGAGAGTGTCCGATGGTTTGCCGGGGTTAATCAGGTAAGCCAGCAGATTTCAAGTTTCCGTTAGGTGCCTATTTACGGTCCTCAGGCCTATTTTTTATGAAAAAACTTTTGGAGCACAGGAATGACATTTTGCAGCTTACACTGTCTGCCCAATATTGCACAACCCGGGCCAATCCCTGTTTTTCCAGATCCTCTTCATGGGACTGATCATGCTCACCGGAAATTACAACTTTTTCAACCTGCTCTACTCACTGATTTGCGTGGCGTTGTTGGAAGTTGGACCCGGTAATTAATTTGCAGAATCTTAGCCTGTTTCGGTAATTGTTTAAAGATACCGAGCTTAAGTTATGCTTCTATTTTACTACTATAATTGCATTTTTCGTATTAATAGCAAATATTTTTAGACAACACACAACGCGAAAAGCGTCAATCCATGCTGATGTGGTTGGTGGAGACGATTGTGTTCGTGGGTACGGTGGCAGCCTCCCTCTGGCACTTTTGCAAATGGTTTTCCGTGGAAGCCGATTGGAGCAGGAGGGTGGTAGATTCGGAGATCGGTAAGGCAAGGTATCCGACTAAAAATGCGCATTTTACAGCCTTCGATCGATCGGAGTTCGATGCGGCCGTGCGGCTGGCCACTGAATATTTGATTTATGTGGGAGCGGCTGGGCTGTTTTGGAAGGTTTTCGTCGCCTTGTGGAGGTGGGTGGTGGTTTTTAAAGGTATTTTGGGTATCTGTTTTTTAAGAAATCAATAGGGTTTGCGAGCGAGAAAATGTTTTTGGCCCAGTCGAGCCTTTCGGGGGGTTAGAACGGTTTCTCAGGACTGGTCTGTTGTCCGGCTAGCCGTCCCGACCGATATCTTGTGTTATCAGTGTGGGCGACCCAGGCTGGCTGGCTATTATTGACCACTATCCAATTTGCAGCCTCTCTCCCCCCTCGTTTCTTGACCATTTATTTGCTCGCTGGTCTTAGTACATAACTTTAAAATCCCTTAAAATACTTTGTTTTTCAGAAATGGCAAAAGCTTCTTCAATATCCTTCATCTTACCTTTGTCGTCGCCATCGGTGGATTCATCTTCGCGGTTTCACTGGTTTGTTTTGCAGTACGGGATACGTTATGCGACGTTGCACTACGCTTCGCTACATTAGGCTGTGTTAGGCTACGCATCGTTACCATACGCTACGTTACGATGTCAGCTTACACTGCACTACCTTATGCTACGTGGCGCTACGTTACCGTATACTACGTTAAGCATCCTACGCCTATTATTCTAAAAAAATTAACCAGATGCGTTTCTCATAAAAATGATTTAAGGTTCCATTCACTCAACTTGACCGCTCCGTCGCCGCAAAGATCCCACCCCAAATCCGCCAACTCCATGAACTGACCTCCAAATTCCACCTCGTCAACTCGTACGGACTCTTTAGAAGGTAGGCATCAAACACGCTACCAGAATATATAACCCGATTACAGTATGACCGGCTTGGAGGGGAGGCCCGAAATTGTGCTCGAAGGCTCCGATGGCCCGAGTGGCCCCTGGAAAGAGATCGAATTCTATGCGAAACCGGGCAATTTGAATCGAAGCCCGCCATTCGTCGGTAGGTGACAGATGAAGCCAAGCTAAAAAGATACGAGCTGACGAGTTTTAATGACCAGTAGAATAATTGAACCATTTTTAGTTCCTCACCAACCACGCCTCGACTGGCAAATGTGGTTCGCCGCCCTCGGCACGTACCAGCAGAACCCGTGGTTTGTCTCCATGGTTCACCAACTGCTCAACAACAACACTAATGGTAAAATTATGCAAAAGACAAAAATATAAATGGATATTTTAGTCGTCCGGTTGCTGGAGAAATATCCGTTCACTAAGGATCAGCCGATGAAGTTCGCTCGGGCGCACATGTACATCTACCACTATAGTAAATGGAATGGCAGGTGGGGCAATGCTTAAGCGTATGTAAATTTTGTCTACAGTCCCTGAAATTTTTTCGTGATGCTGATATCTCTCTCACACCGTGTCTCTCTCTCTCCCTCTCTTCCAGGTTAAGACATTACCTTTGCAGTGGCTGGTGGACCCGCGATTTCCAAGGCGAGTACATGCCAACCCTTACTCGCAACGCCGAGCCCATCCTCGACTTCCTCGCCAAGCAGAAGCTGATCGTCAAATCCCAAAAATACCCCTCCACAAAACTCTCGTCCTCTCTCGCAAAACTTCAACGCCACATCACCCAAAAAATCGATCAGACCGTCTTTGTCTGGTCCGTCTTGTCGACCGTTCCGCTCATCCTAATCACCAAACGAATCCTCGGGTTCTAAAATGCATATAGTTTCCATTTTCCCAGCATAATCGATTATTGGTTATGAATCCCTTGTCAATTACGGCTAATCAATTTGATCTGATGACAATGATATACGGTTGTGCCCTCAAGGGCTATTTATACGTGCCATTAATGCCAAAATGCCCCCATAAAGATATCGATCGCTATCTGACCTCGAACGACTTTCGACTTGGCTAGTTCCATTTCATACATTCTTTAAAAAACTCACACTTGCCCCTAATCGTGATAAAAGATGAGCCAGCCGAAGGAGAAGCGCATCGGACGATGGTACTTCGGAGGGTTGGCTTCGGCTGGCGCCGCTTGCTGCACACATCCACTCGATTTGCTAAAGGTTAGTTAACACGTTTCATTAAAATAGTTCAATTGAAATTTTAGGTGCATCTCCAAACGCAGCAAGCCGGAAAGGTCTCACTTGGGCAAATGGCCGTAAAGTTGTACAAGTGAGTCGAATTATGTCACAAAAAACTAGGGCTTTGGAAAACGCTTATGCGTATTTTGGACATATGCTTTGGCGTAGGTTTTTGTCTGAGCTTAGGTTTAAGGTAACATCTACGGGAGATAAACTCCTGCTTTTCAGATCCGACGGCATTTTCGCATTCTACAACGGGCTATCGGCATCATTGCTCCGCCAACTGACCTATTCGACAACCCGCTTTGCCGTCTACGAGACCTTGAAGAAGCAGTACCCTTCAGGTATCAATTTACAACAACTCGAAGAGCCCGGTATTTTAGAACAAAACCTTCCCTTCCTTCAAAAGGCACTCCTGGCCGGCATCTCCGGTGCACTCGGCGGACTTGTTGGTACCCCCGGAGACTTGGTGAACGTCAGGATGCAAAATGACGTTAAGGTATGTGTTAATTTAGAAGGACACCAATTACTTATTGTTTTTAGCTGCCACCGGCTGAACGACGCAACTACAAGCATGCAGTCGATGGGGTTGTGAGAATCGTTCGCGAGGAAGGTATCGGAACTTTAATAGCTATAATCAGGTTTTTAAGGTGTTCAACGGCTCTTCAACGGAGCCACGATGGCCACATCTCGCGCGATTCTGATGACAATCGGCCAATTGGCTTTCTACGATCAGATCAAGCAGACGATCCTGGCTAGCGGACTGGCGGAGGATAATTTGGTCACCCATTTCTCATCTTCGATCACCGCGGTAGGTCTTTCTCTATCTCTCTCTATCTCTATCTCTCTCTAGCTCTTTCTCTCTGCCTCTCTCGCTCTCTCTCGCTCTCTCTCTCTCTCTCTCTCTCTCTTTCTCCGATGGTACCCAGGTCTCGAATTATCACAATTAATTTACGTATTTCAGGCTTCCATCGCGACGCTGATGACCCAACCTATGGATGTCCTCAAGACACGTATGATGAATGCTACTCCTGGCCAATTTAAGGTATTGATCTTTTATACAACCTATATAAGAACCAATTTCAGAGCATCGCCGACTGCTTCTTCTTCACCGCCAAGCTGGGCCCGGCCGGCTTCTTCAAGGGCTTCGTCCCGGCTTGGGTGCGACTTGCCCCTCACACCGTCCTCACCTTCATCTTCTTCGAGCAGCTGCGCCTTAATTTCGGCTACTTCAAATAGAGCCTTGTAGCTTACCCGCTATCCCAAAGAAGCCATTTTCTAGGGCTTCATGTAGATTCACTTACTTGCCGCTAAGTCGAAATAGTCCTGTGATATAACCTGAACCTCGTCTCTCCATGTGATTACTGTATTAGTGCTGACGAGTATACCCTCCCCGTATTACCAGAACCCCGCTTATACTTCTGTACCCTACTTAGCGATTCGCCACTTACCTATGCATTTTTGTACTTTCTCAGTTTAATACTGCCATGTACCCTCGAGATTGCTGAATAGGTCACTTTTTAGAAGTTGTAGATAGATACTTTGATACTTACACAAAGGTGCGAGATAAGAAATAAAGATTACTAGTATATTGTTTTATCGTTAAACCGCGTTCTTACGCCGTTTTAACTTATCTTTGACCGGTATACTATACTGTTTTATCCTCGTAATGACTTGGCCACGATATTTGCTCGAATATCCCGACCAATATTGCTCCAAATCCGGGTCCCCGCACAAAAGCTCATACCCGATATTTCAGTCTGTCGCCCCACGCCATTTGTTATCGACTTTGAATGGCCGCTGACGTGCAAAAGGTGGCCCGGCGATTTGGTTTCGGACTCGCAGCAGTGGCTGTTGGCGGTGGAATCGTGTTTGCATCAAGTTATTACGGTTAGTCCCGCTTACACGAATAATCTTTTGCGCTTTATCTTTGGAAGAAAGATCTTTTCCTACCGTCCCATCAGTTTAAAACCATTTTTTAGTGAAAAAAGGCCGTCGAGCCGTTGTTGTTGATCGATCATCAGGAGTGAAGGAGCAAATTTCCGAAGAAGGCCTGCACTTCCTAATCCCCTTCAAGCAAAAAGCCGTCATTTTTGACATCCGACAAAAGTCGAAGCAGTTGACGATCAACGGAAAGTCACAAGGTATGCTTCACCCTTGCGATTTTTACCGCAAGATTTTTTTAGACAAGCGTGAGGTGGAAATCGTACTCTGCATCACCTACCGACCAGATCCAGAGAGATTAGTGCTCATCTACAAGCGGTACGGGGAGAATTACGATCAATTCCTGTACAGCGCCATCGAGGAGAACGTCTACTCAATTTTGGTGCGTTTTGTGCAGATCTTCTTATAATTCGAGGGAGTTTTAGGAAGAAAACAACAGCTCAACGCTGGATTCGGATCGGGAAGGGATTCGCACGAACATCGTGAACGACGTCTTGGCACTTTTTGGCGGTATGAACGTGCTGATGGACAAGATCGAAATGGTAGAGTAATTTTTAGCTTTTTGTTTTGAAGTAGGTTAAGCCACTTAAGCCTAAGTCTAAGTCAAAGGCTAGAGCTAGGCTACCGAAGCTTGAGCGAAGCCCAATCCAAAGCTTAAGCCTAAGCCTAATCCTAATCCTGCGTCTAGGGCCATCAGCCAAACAATGACCGTTGTTATGTCACCAACCTAAAACTATCCTCTTCAGACAAAACTGGCGGTAGACGTACCTTCGCAAATTCAGGACGACCATCAGAATTCCTCGCGGCTTAGGGTATGCTCGGAAAATTAACCCTAACAAAACTCATACTTAAGAAAGACTCGCAACGATCTGTGCGAAGCGTGGCCTTTGAAAAGCCCGAGACCGCTACCCCAACTCCCCCTTGCCGAAGCGACCGTCGTTGACACGCCAGTTTCCCTCCCTGATACCCGTCCGAAGGATGCGACTTCACGCTCCCGCCAAAGCTCCTATCGCGCAGAATTCCCGAAAATCCCGGAATCTGCGGAAAATAAGGTACGTCGCTGATCGCGTTCGGTAAGAAATGAGCCTAGGAAAACGAATACATCAAGGAGGAGGTGGTGGAGCGCAAGGTGCAAGGGATCTACGAGAGCCTCCCGACCTCTTCGGATAGCACCGTCACACCGCTGGAGTTGGAGCTGGTCCTCGACCAAAAGGACCCGAACACGTTCTCCTGGAGTGAAGAGGTAGATAACTTTTCATTATACCTCTAATTTAATGATTTACAGATGGAAAAGGAAGACGACCTTGTTGACCACGTCCATCGGAATGGCCAACAGACGCCGGATTCAGACGTAAGTGGCTTCCCACCGTCCAATAATCCATTTCCTAGCAGGCATCTGTCGATAGCGGCCGTGCCACCGGACCCCCGTTGTTGCAGAATGTCTTCGGCGAGATTGTGCCACAATACGAGTTCGAGATCCATAACAGCTACGTCGGACTGGTGATTGGCGTTGGGGGAAAGACGATTAAGGTAATTTTCGACCCGTATTTTCACGCTATATCCAAATCCAGGAGCTGAGCACCCGCACCGGTGTCGTCCTCGAGATTCGGCCCCACCATTCCCCGGACAAGGTGGACACCTATCAGATTTGCCAAGTGCGGGGCAAGCGGGAACAGATCAACAAGTGCCTCTGCATGCTTCGCCATCGATTCCCGGCCGAGCGCTTTCCGGAGTTGAATCTGCAGCCCGTGCTCCCGTTACCACCTATCACCCAGCATCTGGCTGATCAGATTCTTCACCCGACTTGGGTTAGTTTGCTGGAAGGAAAAAAGAACACCTCTTTTAGCTCACCCTCCCGGAATGCGTGCCAACAGAAGTAACAGTCTCTGCCATCGTTGACCCGGGCCACTTTTTCGTCCAACAACCCACCCACCCGTCCTACAATTCGATGGCCCTCCTCGACCGCTACATGCTCCAGATCTACACTCGAGAGGCTGACATCCCGTCTGTCCCGAAGGAGCAAGTGAATTGTGAGCAAATTACCGTTCCTCGTTTTATAAGACTTTTAAGCCGGGGTGTTGTGTGCGGCGCCGGTGCTTCAGGCATGGTTCCGGGCATTGACCGTCAATTATTACGAGGACACGGATGAGGTATCATTTATCGCTCTCTCTCTCTCTCACTCATTGGCTCTCTCTCACTCTCTCACCCTTACTCCTTCACTCTTCCTATCTCTCTCCCTTGCTCTCTCTCTCTCTCTCTCTCTCTCTCTCTCCCTTTCTCACGCACGCTATTTCATTTTTCAGCTTCTCGTCCGTTTTGTCGACCATGGCGGGTACACTCGTGTAAAACGGGAAAATCTGAAGCAGATCCGCACCGATCTGATGGCCCTGCCCTTCCAGGCTGTCGAGTGCTACTTGGCACATGTCCAGCCCGTCGATGGTGAGCCAAATCCATTTTCCAAAACGAAAAAATCTTAATTTAGCCGGCCGCAATGCTTTTCGTAAGTTTGCGCTCGTAGTTTGTGTCTTGGTTCTAGAGTCTGTAGTTTCCCCCCCTTGGGCATACGGTATACGGTATTGTTTTTGGTTTCGAATTGGATTATCGGGTACTTCTATAATTTTCCTATCGGTAGTTAATTGAGTTTTTAGTTATATATCACAAAACAACTAATTTTCTGGTGA